AAGATCCTGTTAATTTTAAGGGATGTTACGACTCTTTAGTGAATTTTATATATGTTATATAATTATTCTTCTAAAACAATTTCCTTACATCTTAGAACATATTAAATATGTACTGCAAATGTTATACGCATTATAAGTTATCATTAAAATATATGCATTCATTTCTTATTGAAAAATTTGGCTAAGATATTATTTGAAATAAATCTCTTTTTACCCCTTTTTTTTACTTAAAATGAAAATTTCCCGAAATTTTCCAGAAAATGTTTTTGGGAAATTAAAATTTTTAAAAAATTCTTCATTTGAGTATATTTATGATATAAACCATCAAAAAAATTTTGGTTACGGGTTTTTAATTTTTTAAATTTCTAAAAGAATGACCGATTTTTTGTAGTGTTTTGATAACGTTCGATAATGGGATTCCTCCGGGATCATCAGTTCGAATACTTTTATTGTTGACGATTGAATACTGCTAAGAGAAATTGCATTTTATTTTATCTATGACTAAACCGAGTCTGTCTCCAAAAGTCATTTTTTTAAATTTCTATATTCATTTCATCAATGTATGAAATATCTGTTTGCTAAACACCTTTGATGATTTGAATTTCGATTGCTAGACTTTTATATGAAAAAGAAGTAGTTATTTTACCTTGAACAGATTAAATTTGGGAAGTTTGATTTAAAATTTGATTATGATTATCAATAATATTTTTACAGCCTATGTACCTTCCGGAAGACGTTGGAATACCTTTTGGGGGAGCAGAAGAGGCAAACTTTTACGTGTTGGCCACGCATTACGAAAATGAGGAGTCTTTTACAAGTAAAACATCTTACATAGATGTTAATGTTTATACCGTTTACAATATCAGTTGCATATCTGAATATAGTTAAGAATTATCATATACAGTATATTTGAAGTGAAATTTGATTGTTTGATTTGGATTTAACGTCGGACCGACTAAGTATAGGTCATGTGGCGACTTTCCAGCCTTTACTGGTGGAGAAAGACCTCTGGTGCCCGTTTGTCATTATTACAGGCACGAACGTTGAAAGAGACATTATGTAGTTAAACTAATTAAAACAACAACAACAACAACAATACTTAAATAAATATGCATTTTACTATTTATATGAGAATAAATAATTGGGATATTTTGTTTTTTAGATCTTATTGACAACTCTGGTATACGGATAACTTACACAGCAAAGTTAAGAGATCATGATGCGGCGTTCCTTTCCCTTGGAAACATCATTAGTCCTAACTGGCTTCAGTTTATACCACCAGGAGAACCAAACTTTGTCCAGAAAGCCTACTGCTCAATGAGATGCCTTGGATGGGTGAGTTATTTAAAAATACTAAATATATAAGTGTTTAAGATTGTATCGTAGTGTTCCATAATCAATGGCAGGATACTACTTCATTGCGCATCTGCAATATGCTCCCAATCGGACTGTTTAGCTTTTTGTAAACATCCCGTCGACTCGATGGTAATATTTGTTTCTATTCTAAACAAAAATGTTATAGTATCAAATGTAGTGCACCAACGATTGGCTTTAGTACTTGATATGATTTTTAAAAAGTTAAAAGTTTAACCTGAAAACGGGATACAGTAATTATTTTTCTAAATGCTCCCACTCGGACACATTCCGATTTGGAGCATTTTGCAGGTGCGCGATGACTTAGTATCCTACATTTTAAGAATGCTACAAAAGTGAATGTCTATTTTGGTTATATTCGCTCTGAAACTTTCTTGTTTATAATATAAATTTATGTGATTGAAATAAAATTTAGGAAAATATATTAAAGTGACGCGATAAAAAATAATTACTGATTCGCTTTGTGTTTCACTTGTTTAGAAATAAAACCCACCTATAACGGATAATATATATCCATCCGATTCTAGATCAAATTCTAGACTGGAAAAAACAAAAAAGGCAGAATTAATGATTGAACATTTTTTAGATGCAACTCAAATTAAGCTTTTTTCGCAGTAAAAGGTTACGGACATGAAAAGACACTAATGAGGTTACGGCTAATACAGTTACCATGAATGACGCTTGAACTGGGAATATAAAAGATATAGATCTCATTATGATTTATCATGGTTAGTGTATTTCAGGGAATTGGCAATTGCTGGAATAAAAAAGATCTAAATCAAAACAATCTAAAACATCTAGAGGACAAAAAAATCTGGATTAATCAAATCTAAACCATCTGGATCAACCAAATCTGTACCGATGGGACGTGGTTGGTGTTCAGTTTCACTCCCATTCATGGGGTAAAGCCATGAAATTACGTCATTTCACGCGCCTATAGAGGAAATCGAGCGCAGGAGAAACCGTGGTTAGCGTATGATAGGTTCATATGATAGTGAACAACAAAGCTTCCGCCTTCTGAGTACACGACGAAAAGTTGATTGTGTACGTGTTGAGTTATTCATTCTACAGTTTAATACAAAAAATTAAAATAATATACTTTTAGTTTGAATCGAGCTTTACATTAAAGCACTTTGTTTTTTTTGGCTGCTTATGATACTCGCAACATTTCGGCCTTTTCCGATGATCGACGAATGGTTCCAAATGGTATTATAAGGCTCTATACCTTGAGCTCCCGTGTTTTTAAATTAGACAAAACCGATATGAACTAATATAGAAAAGACAGTTTATATATTAGACGACTATTTTTGTAATGAAGGACATTTTTCGGATAGACCATGCCATTTGGAATGTTGACCGGAATGTCGGAAACTATGTAAAAACTTTTACCAGAATGTCAAAACCATATTACGAATGCCACTTGTACCGGAATATCAGATAATGTTCTATAAAGCTTAGCAATGACAAAATGTATTCATGTTCTTGGCTTTTTTATTTTAGAGAGACGAATTATTGTTAGAGTGTACCTATATGATTCATCACAGAGGCAACGACCAACAGTGGTAAGACATTTTTATTATCAAAAAACAAACAAACAAGAAAACACTTCATAAAATACTTAAACCTTATTCTAGTAATCGTTCAATATCTATATACAGCTGCAGTTAGTCTTGTGAAAAGAAAATGTGCTAGTTTCCATATTTAAAATTGAAATCTGGTTTATGAATAGCCACATTACTGAAAATGGTATGCCACACGTTTGTCGTACATATACACCGTCTGTCTGTCGGCGGACTGCTCTTACGTTTTCTGTTTCTTTGTGTGTAACAGCATTTTCACATTTATATACTAATGATCATTATCAGTATGGTTCGAGTTTTTGTTTGTTTGTATGCGTTTTTTTTTCTTTCCATTTCATATTTTACATGATTTTTTAATCATAAATCAGTCGGGTTATTTTATCTAGACCAATTATAATGCGGGATAACATAGATCAAAACAATAGTCGGCGTAAACATTAAAGGCCCATTATGCTTCAGAAATGTTTTTTTATCTTTATTTTCTAAAACATCATTTATTATGTCCTGTTATAGTTTCAGAAAAGTTACTTATTGGCGAAATAACTGAACCATCTTTTGCTCTTTTTTTTGGCATTATTATAGGTATAATGTTTTAGTATTTTGTATGGAAGTCAAATAATATAATTGCTAGTTTGTTTACATTTGCTACTTTCATAACAAATAACATCTCATTTATCTGCACTTTCTTCAGCTGATAATCTTATAAGCTCTGAAACCATTATCTAAAAACTATAAAACTCAGATTTGCCCTTTCTAAATATGGAAAATAAAATTATATTTGTTCCCGATTTTATAAGATTTAATGTGCTATTTCCCTTGTTTCATTAATGCGCTACTTCTCTGCTTTTATGAATACGCTACTTTCCTGCTTTTATGAATACGCTATTTTCCTGGTTTTATAGATACGCTATTTTCCTGTTGTTTTCTTAGATACGCTATTTTCCTTCATTTTTTTCTGATTTTATAAGATTTAGTGGGCGAAATCCCTTGTTTTATAAGTGCGGTACTATAAGTACTGTGGCTTTATAAATATGCCATTTTCCTGGTTTTAAAATTTAGATGCGCTATATTCCTGATTTTATTAATGCGCTATTTTCCTGGTTTCATAAACATGCCATTTCCTTGAGTTTTTATATTTTAAATACGCTATTTTCCTGGTTTTACTAATGCGCTGTTGTCCGGGTTTAATAAATATGCTAATTTCTTGGTTTTATAAATGCGCTTGTTTTAGTTAATAAATGCGCTATTTTTTCTTAAACTTTAAACATTTAGCATCGTGCATTTATCGGTAATGTAGCAACTGATTATCATTCAAACCGCGTCGTTAAGACAAATGTATCTCCTTTGAGTGTTCGTATAAACATGTTGTTTTTTTCTAGAGATGAACACATTTATATTAAATGTCTAGTTCATATTCATTATTTTTAATTGTGGATTTAACTGGTTATTATAGTCTTAGACTATAGATAAATAAATAGTAAAAGGATAAGACTTTGGTGGCCCTTTTAAACAAAACGATTTTCACCTGGGTTAAAGGTAGAGTGCAATAAATTTAAATATATCAAGACAGCTAGTGTTTCTTTTCGCGTATAACATCAAATTTGTTAAAACGGAAAATGATTGATTTATTCTTTGTTAGTTTAAGGTATACATTTGTATAATACATTTTGCACATCATACATTTGAAATGAAAATGGCACAAAGAAAGAAATGAGCCGCGTCATGACAAAACCAACATATTGGGTTTGCGACCAGCATTGATCCAGACCAGCCTGCGCATCCGCGCAGTCTGATCAGGATCCATGCTGTTCGCTTACCAACTCTATTACAAGTAGAAAAACTAATAGCGAACAGCATGGATCCTGATCTTACTGCGCGGATGCGCAGGCTAGTCTGGGTCCATGCTGGTCGCAAACCCAATACGTTAGTTTTGTCTTGACGTGGCCCAAATGATTATCATTCAATGTATCAACAAATCTAAACAACTGACATTTGTCTTTCTTTTATTCACAGGGTGGTTGGACGGAGTATGACGAACTGTGCCGTGGATATATGCTGTATTACCCAAGAAAACCAATTGAAGGCTGTATGAGCTGGAATAATTATGATAAACTCACGAGTACTGATGGGCACAAGATAAACGGAACTAACGTTTTCAGGACGCTTGTAAACACAAACTGGAAAGATGACCGAAAGATGAGAAACATTCTAAGACAGACTTTAGATAAATCCTTGGAAAATGCCCAATGCTGGACATCATCCCCGAAAAGAGAAATTTCCGTAAGTATTTATTTAATACTTTTTATAACCATAAAGTGAAAAAGATAGAGCTAATTAAGTACATACATAAGGTGAAAAAAGATAGAGCTAATTTAGTATATACATAAGGTGAAAAAAGAGAGAACTATCGAAATAACTTGTAATTTTCGGGTGTGAAATATATCTATTTCAAATTACATTATTCAAATTGAATCTGCATGCTGGACTAAGCAGTACTTGTTATCATAAAGGATTTACAGCCATGTGCCAACTATCAGACACCTTAACTACTGAAAACCCGTTCTCTCACTTAAAGGTCCATAGTAAATTCCTCGTACACCACAAACGTTGTTTACAAACAATATCATATTATTATTAAATTGTTGTTTTTTTTCAACGAAATAAAATATCACGGAAAAAACCATGAAAAGTTAATTGCTCATACCATGTCTCCTGCTGTTTTTTTCTTACAAAGATTGATGGCATTTATAAATATTTACTTTGCTTTAAAATGTTATGTTTTTATTTTTTCAGTATGCAATAGATTTTTTCCGACAACCGAGAATAACAAAAATCTATAAAGAACCACAATCGTCGACTTGTCAGGGTGTGTAAAAAGAAATGACAAAGAGGAATGTTTAAACCAGACTTTCCTTTAGATAACGCTAGGAAAGTTCCGCTGACTAGAATTGATTTTTTTTGTTTCATTGTCTTTAATGATACTGCCTTTGATTTCAAAATAACCACCAGGTCATAGTATTTCAAATTTATATCCTTCTTTAAACACTTATTATGAAAAGAACTAGCTTCATAGATATGATGTGACGTTTATTTTTACATTTTGACATAGTTTTTGTTCCTTCTGTTAAAAAAAGAAAAACAAGAAGAAGAGAAAAGACAAATGAATCTTAAAAAACGATGCATCTTCTCCTGTGAGAGACATAATGATGGCATAAACATGAATAATAAATCATCTGTAAATGCGTTTTCCTACCAAATATAACTTTTTATTGTAAAACGCCATAAAGATGAATTCTAAAGTAAAGTACTTTCTGACATTTTCTCACATCATCAAAAAGTCATCACTGAAATGGTGCTTAAGGTGACATTATGCCTATCTAAGAGTAAATTGTGAGTGTTCAGGTACAATTGAAAGTATGTTTTTATTTTGTTACATTTGTTAAACGTCACCTGAATAATCAAAAACCACAATGACCCACATGAATAAATATCTATTAATATATTTCGGAAATTATTGGCAGTGCTCTATTTATAAAAAGGGAGAGGACCACTTCTTTATACATAATAGTACATTGTATTAAGTCTGTTTTATATTTCATCTTAAACATTTGACATTATCAAATATTGTTCAATCGCCATTGTAATAGTCAATCTTTTAAAATATACAACTATTTAATCAGTTTGACATTGAAAAAAAGAGCATTATGTCATTTTGACTGTGTGTTCGACTTAAGTTTAAAATAACAGCATAATAAATAGTTTGATTTCTTTTCAATATTTTTTCACAAGGTCAAATGAAAGTCTTCAATAATTATCACGGAGTTATGACACAAAGAAAGGGAAATCAAATGTCGAATAAAGAAGTGTGATTGTAATGAGTAAATACATGTATGCTTTTCACTTCATGTCAATAAATATGTTAACGTTAATTTTTCTTCATTTTGACTGTGATAGAGTGCTTCTTAACGCCTCATTACGCTTCATTATGCCATATTACGCCTCATTATCAATTATCGTTACATTCATCTCCTCACTCATGAATATTTATTACCACAATTCATCTCATTATCAGTCCGTTAACGTATGTATGTAAATATAAACTATGATTAAGGAGTTATTTTTATATATACCTGAAATAAATGTTGATAGTGACAGTCATTAATTGTTTTGCTTTTATTCATAACACCCCCCACACTTTCCATGTTGATAAGTGTATGATTTCGAATATTTTCGAGACTTTAGCCTTTGGTCTCATTTATACATTTCGTATCATGATGTATATATGATTTATGTAAAGTGTATTTATATAAAGAGACCACAAAAGTCTGTATAAACTATTCGAAAAATGAACTGTTTTAAGGCTTCTTATTATGTTTCATTTTTGAAGTTATGTAAATAATGTCCTGCCTAAAGCAAAATGCATTTATGTATAAACTTGTTTATATGATTTCAATATAAAGTTCAGTTATTCTAAAAGCTGCTTTAACTTTAAAAGTTTTAATTTATGACAGGTTAATAACCACTTTTGGCGGTTACCAGTATATACCTAATTGTAATAAAACGAACAAGACGAGCGAGCAGTTATCGTTTTCAATTGGCTGTACAGATTTACGTAATACATTACATACATTATTTACTTTAACGTTTTCATCTACGAAATTGCTTTACCTAAATAAACAGGTATTTGCTGAATCATATATTGTGGTACAGATTGAGGTTAACCAAAGAAGATAGGAAACTTAATCGCTGATATAATTAACAATCTAGTAGATGCAGGATGGCGAGCCATCGTGACTTGGAAAAAGGAAATAGCGGACTTTTTTAAAAGCCCCGACTAAAGTAGTCTATCTTAATTGATTTGCTTTTAAAGTGTATAAAGCCGTGCATCTTATAAAGTGCACAATCCAAGTGCTTTATCCGTTCATCTTATAAAGTACATAAACCCCTATAACATACAAGGTGCATAAACCAAGTGCATAAAAGCCTACGCCCCATAAAGTACATATACACCTACGCCCTATGAAGTACATAAACCCATACAACATATAAAGTGCAAAAAACGCCTACACCTTATAAAGTACATAATTCCCTACATATTTTAAAGTGCACAAACCACCATGCATAAACCCCTACATCTTATAAAGTACATAAATCCCTACACCTTATAAAGTACATAAATCCCTACACCTTATAAAGTACATAAATCCCTACACATTATTAAGTGCATAAATCTCATCATCTTTTAAAATGCACAAACCAAGTGCATAAACCCGTACACCTTATAAAATACATAAATCCCTACACCTTATAAAGTACATTGACCACTACACCTTATAAAGTACTTAAACCCCAACATCTTACAAAGTGCATAAACTTTTACATCTTATAAAGTGTATGAACCCCTACACCTTATATAGTACATAAATCCCTTCACCTTATAAAGTGCATTGCATCTCATAAAGTGCATAAACTAGGTGCATAAACTCCTACACCTTATGTAGTACATAAACCCTAACATCTTATAAAGTGCATAAACCCCTGCACCTTACAAAGTGGTAAAACCTTACACCTTTTAAAGTGCACGCATCCATACACCGATAAAATGAAGTCAGTTGTTACCTACTTTATTGATAATCTTTTTAGACTTGAACGATTAAGGTAAATGATCTGGATTTTTTTTTAACTAATTGTCCGTCTAAATGTTTCATTGGTAACACTTTTAGTAGAGTAAAATAAAATCTATTTAGGGTTGTCAGAAATCGATAAAAACATTTTCTGTACTGACCTTTCAATGTATGCTTTACATGTCCTTTTTTCAAACTAAATGTTTCATTTTACAAATCATCACCTGATATTTATAGGTCATGTATTTATAACAAATTCATGCACGTTTTATGTTCGTTAAATTAAATTGTATTGTATCGTTATGAAGTGTTTCACTGAAGTAAGGATCTATTTACTTTTAATAAAATATCAAAGACCTTAAAGGGACGCCACTGAGGTTTTTTGATTAGACGCGTCTTGAAGTTATTGTTCGAGATTTATGTTTCATTTGATGAAGGTCTGCCTATACCAATAACTTGTGTGCAAAATTTCAGATCATTTGCTCACTCTGTTTTCCAGAATAAGTATTCAACTTGTTAAAAAATGACCCAAAAATTGAAAAAACGTTACAACGCATTTCAACCAAATGGGAATAAGACTTAGTGTAGCACAATAATACAATTTTCTTTTTATTTCAGAGTATATTTCTAAATTATCTTATTTTAAGTGCCCAAGCTGTTCTAAGTCAGAAATTCAATTTATGTTTTAGACCTGATTAGAGGTCCTTTAAAAACAAACATAAAGGCAGACAGATATTGTACGAGTGTTGGCTTGTAGTCAAGGAATTTGATATAATTAAAAAGGGGGTATTACGATTTAGTCAAAATTATTTCATTATATTTTATGGTGTTTAAAATAGTCGTTTTAATTCCACTTGAACTTACCATATTAATTCAATTTTTAATAACGTTTGTACATAATACAATTTAACAGGCTTTATATATAAGTTTTTTTCCAGATTATAAACATATGAATAGGTTTCTTTTGATGTTCGTCTAAATACAATACTCCGCCCATAATTCTGTATGTAAGAGCTATGCGAAACTCAGATATATTCGTAACAATGGTAGGATATTTCGTCATCACACACCTGCAAAATGCTCTCATTCGGACTGTTTTTTTTGTCAACACTAAGATATTTCTTTCATTCTAACAAATCGTTATAATATCAAAAAATATTGTAGCGCACAAAAGCCTTGCTTTATTACTTGATATAATTATATAAAAAACGTTTAAAGTTTTACTGTTTGGTTAAAACTTAACAAGATAAAAAACTTTAAACTTTTTTTTAAATAAATAAAAGAATGAATAAACTATGAATGGAAAGCTGCCTTCCCTATTACAGGCCAATTTAAGTTGTTGTTTTTCCTTAAAAAAAACAACAAAACAACCCTACCAGTTTTTTAATGACACTATATTTTCCTATTGTGACCACGTACGTGTGTATAATTTTAAACATATCTATTTTGTATGAAGTCAAAACAGTTTCATTCTATATTTACAAATAACCTGTGTAGCAATTATCAATATTTTCTAGTATCAAATTTGAGCATAGAATGTAATAGAATCTTTAATAATGAGTATAACAATTTTATAGTGTCCTATGTTTTACCGCTCTAAAGCATTTACACTGTTGCGTGTTATTTAACAATAACGTAAACCATACTTTTCCCTTTAGAATCGAAAATCCTTTTTTCCCCTCTTATAAAACATAGAACAAAATCAGCGTTTTTTTTATTGTAATCGGCAACACAACATGCCACTGTCATGAATGGTAAATACAAACATGATGTCCTTGAATCGAAGACAGTTATAGTTACAATTGATGAATAATTAATTCATGAGCCGATGGAATCGGAATACCTTTTTCCTAATGCTTTGTTTTAAGCTATTCATTGTTTACTCAATTACGAAGGACATCTTTTTTCAAAACGGTATATCTTAACAAAATACATATTCTGATCTTGTATTGGATAAATTAAAGCTGTGTGGATTGAGTTAGGCGTTTTCGGGTGAGTATCATTGATAATAATAATAATGCAGTTATCTATTTGAGCCGCGTCACGACAAAACCAACATAATGGGTTTGCGACCAGCATGGAGCCAGACCAGCCTGCGCATCCGCGCAGTCTGATCAGGATCCATGCTGTTCGCTAACAGTTTCTCTACTTGTTATAGGGTTTGTAAGCGAACAGCATGGATCCTGATCAGACTGCGCGGATGCGCAGGCTGGTCAGGATCCATGCTGGTCGCAAACCCATTATGTTGGTTTTGTCGTGACGCGGCTCGTTTATCACATAAATAAGACTACTTTGTCACAGTGCGGTCATGACATTTGTTCTCATGACAAATTAAATAACGAGATAAAGATATAATTATGTTACGCAAAGCTATATAACTCTCACTGCGAGTGAATTGAATTTTAAAGATGGTACCTAGTATTCAAACATTAAAAACCTTTTGCTACCGTTAGTCACTTAATTTTGTTGCAATTTGGTAGCAAGTGGAATGCGATACGTCAACCGTTTACGTTGTTTTACAGAGAGAAAAAAAAAACGTTTATAACGTATTAAAACACAGTAATCAGTATTGTAAAAAGTGTTGATCGATGCATGTGAAAATTTGTTTTAGTGTACATAACAGGTAACGTTAATAAATACATTACACTTTTCAAAAAAAAAATAACGATAAAGAAATATGTTGGTTAATCCAAGTTAGGTACTCTGAAAAATGCAGATGTAAAACACTATATGACATATTATACCAATTTGCCTTATTTTTGGACTTACATATTTATATTTGGCATTTAAAAAATTAAACATATTTCTAACAGTTTTTGGAACAAGGTTATTGTTTTACAGATATGATATAGACTATCTCTTCATTTTCCATTTATTATATTCTTGTTTGAACTTAATTAAATAGCAGTTGTCTAATGACTATAAAGGTTATTAATAATTACAGCAGAGAACTGACTAAAGATGTCGACCGCCACCCCCACCCCCACCCTCGGAAATTATAGTTTAATAACTGCATATAGTGTTTAAGGCGAGTCGTGGTCTCATGCACTCTTAGTTAAATCCTGAACAATGATTATCTTTGAACATGTTTACTATTGTATCGAGATGTAAAACCCGCCTTTTAAACAAATACGTATCTATTAATTTATTGTGACAGATAGAAGAAAACAAATATTGATATGATTACAATTTAATTTTCACATTTTCTTATGAATGCATTATTTAAATTTATACATACGGACAAGAATGATAAACTATGTTACGTGACGTAAATTAGAGACAGTTACTGCAGATTGTTTAACTTTAAAATTGTAAATATATTTATTTTTTGTTGTTTAAACTGTCAGCGTTAAGCTTTATTTGTATACTTAAAAGATGCTTATTTTGCCAAAACAGGCTATATAGCGATTAACAGGATTTCCAAAGATCAAATTTGAGCATGGCATCTCTTTGGTATTAATTGACACGTACGTTATTACTTAATCTGGCCCAATGTGCAATGTGATAAATATTTAAATGTAAGTCATTTTGAAGAT